ATATTTTTTTTTAATTCTTATGTTAATCCCCATACATTACATCATTAGTTTTAGATGTAGTGTTCCTTTTTTTTTTTTTCAGGTCTTATATATATATATATATATATATTTTTTTTAATTCTTATGTTAATCCCCATACATTACATCATTAGTTTTAGATGTAGTGTTCCTTTATTTTTTTTTTTCAGGTCTTATATATATATATATTTTTTTTTCCCCCCATACATTACATCATTACTTTTAGATGTAGTGTTCCTTTTTTTTTTTCAGGTCTTATATATATATATTTTTTATTCTTATGTTAATCCCCATACATTACATCATTAGTTTTAGATGAAGTGTTCCATGATTCATTGTTTGTGCATAACACCCAATGCTCCATGCAGAACGTGCCCTCCTCAATACCCACCAACAGGCTAACCCATGCTCCCAACCCCCTCCCCTCTAGAACCCTCAGTTTGTTTTTCAGAGTCCATCGTCTCTCATGGTTCCTCTACCCCTCCGATTTCCCCCGCTTCATTCTTCCCCTCCCGCAACCTTCTTCTTTTTTTTTTCTTAACATATATTGCATTATTTGTTTCAGAGGTACAGATCTGAGATTCAACAGTCTTGCACAATTCACAGTGCTTACCAGAGCACATACCCTCCCCAGTGTCTATCACCCAGTCACCCCATCCCTCCCACCCCACCCCCCACTCCAGCAACCCTCAGTTTGTTTCCTGTGATTAAGAATTCCTCATATCATTCTTCTGCATGTGGCTATCCAATTTTCCCAACACCATTTGTTGAAGAGACTGTCTTTTTTCCATTGGACATTCTTTCCTGCTTTGTCAAAGATGAGTTGACCATAGAGTTGAGGGTCCATTTCTGGGCTCTTTAAAGTATCATATCCTCTGCAAAGAGTGAGAGTTTGACTTCTTCTTTGCCGATTTGGATGCCTTTTATTTCTTTTTGTTGTCTGATTGCTGTGGCTAGGACTTCCAATACTATGTTGAATAGCAGTGGTGAGAGTGGACATCCCTGCCGCATTCCTGACCTAAGGGGGAAAGCTCTCAGTTTTTCCCCATTGAGAATGATATTCGCTGTTCTACTGTTCTTTTAGTTTCTATTTCATTGATTTCTGCTCTGATCTTTATTATTTCTCTTCTCCTGCTGGGTTTAGGCTTTATTTGCTGTTCTTTCTCCAGCTCCTTTAGGTGTAGGGTTAGGTTGTGTACTTGAGACCTTTCTTGTTTCTTGAGAAAGGCTTGTATTGCTATATACTTTCCTCTTAGGACTGCCTTTGCTGCATCCCAAAGATTTTGAACAGTTGTGTTTTCATTTTCATTGGTTTCCATGTATTTTTTTAATTCTTCTTTAATTTCCTGGTTGACCCATTCATTCTTCAGTTGGATGCTCTTTAGCCTCCATGTATTTGAGTTCTTTCCGACTTTCCTCTTGTGATTGAGTTCTAGTTTCAAAGCATTGTGGTCTGAAAATAGGCAGGGAATGATCCCAATCTTTTGGTACCGGTTGAGACCTGATTTATGACCTAGGATGTGATCTATTCTGGAGAATGTTTCATGGGGACTAGAGAAGAATGTATATTCCGTTGCTTTGGGATGGAATGTTCTGAATATGTCTGTAAAGTCCATTTGGTCCAGTGTGTCATTTAAAGTCTTTATTTCCTTGTTGATCTTTTGCTTAGATGATCTGTCCATTTCAGTGAGGGGGATGTTAAAGTCCCCCACTATTATTGTATTGTTGTCGATGTGTTTCTTTGCTTTTGTTATTAATTGCCTTATATAATTGGCTGCTCCCATGTTAGGGGCATAGATATTTACAATTGTTAGATCTTCTTGTTGGATAGACCCTTTAAGTAGGATATAATGTCCTTCCTCATCTCTTATTACAGTCTTTGGTTTAAAATCTAATTTGTCTGATAGAAGGATTGCCACCCCAGCTTTCTTTTGGTGTCCATTAGCATGGTAAATGGTTTTCCACCCCCTCACTTTCAATCTGGGGGTGTCTTTTGTTCTAAAATGAGTCTCTTGCAGACAGCGTATCAATGGGTCTTGTTTTTTAATCCAGTCTGATAGCCTGTGTCTTTTGATTGGGGCATTTAGCCCATTTACATTCAGGGTACCTACTGAAAGATAGGAATTTAGTGCAATGCATTGTATTGCCTGTAAAGTGACTGTTACCGTATATTGTCTGTGTTCCTTTCTGGTATATGTTGCTTTTAGGGTCTCTCTTTGCTTAGAGGACCTCTTTCAAGATTTCTTGTAGGGCTGATTTTGTGTTTGCAAATTCCTTTAGTTTTTGCTTGTCCTGGAAGCTTTTTATCTCTCCTTCCATTTTCAATGACAGCCGAGCTGGATATAGTATTCTTGGCTGCATATTTTTCTCATTCAGTGCTCTGAATATATCCTGCCAGTCCTTTCTGGCCTGCCAGGTCTCTGTGGATAGGTCTGTTGCCAATCTAATGTTTCTACCATTGTAGGTTACATATCTCTTCTCCCGAGCTGCTTTCAGGATTTTCTCTTTGTCTATGAGACTCGTTAAGTTTTACTATTAGATGTCGGGGTGTTGACCTATTTTTATTGATTTTGAGAGGGGTTCTCTGTGCTTCCTGGATTTTGATGCCTGTTTCCTTCCCCAAATTGGGAAGTTCTCTGCTATAATTTGCTCCATTATACCTTCTGTCCCTCTCTCTCTTTCTTCTTCTTCTGGGATCCCAATTATTCTAATGTTGTTTCATCTTATGGTATCGCTTATCTCTCGAATTCTGCCCTCGTGATCCAGTAGTTGTTTATCTCTCTTTTTCTCAGCTTCTTTATTTTCCAACATTTGGTCTTCTATATCACTGATTCTCTCTTCTGCCTCATTTATCCTAGCAGTTAGCGCCCCCATATTTGATTGCACCTCATTAATAGCTTTTTGATTTCTACTTGGTTAGATTTTAGTTCTTTTACTTCTCCAGAAAGGGTTTCTCTAATAACTTCCATATTTTTTTCAAGCCCAGCTAGTATCTTTAAAGTGATGATTCTGAACTCTAGATCTGACATCGTACTAATGTCCGTATTGAGTAGGTCCCTGGCAGTCGGTACTACCTCTTGTTCTTTTTGTTGAGGTGATTTTTTCCGTCTTGTCATTTTGTGCAGAGGAGAACAGATTAATGAGAGAACAAAATGCTAGCAGAGTAACAATGTCCCCAGAAAATATACTCTAAACAAATCAGAAAAGACCTGAAGCAGTGGGAAAAGAAAGGGAAAGAGAGAAAAAAGAAAAAAAGGTAAAGATAAAAACAAACAAAACAAAACAACAACAACAAAAAAAACCAGAATGTGATCAAATATGATCAGGCTGGTATATAGATCAGTGCCACACACTAGATTTTGGGTATATTTTGGTCTGTTAGAAGAAAGTGCCTCCCAAAATTTTAAAGAAAGAAAAACATATATGTACAAAAATAAGGGTTGATATGATGAAGAGATGGAATATGACTGTAAAGATGGAAATTATAAAAAATTTTATAAAAGGAATTGATAAGAAGTTGTTCGAAAAAAGAAAGAAGAGGATTTAAAAAAAGAAAAAAAAAGGGAGAGAATGTGATCAGGCAGGGGAGTAGAAAAAACCATATACTAGAGATATAGGGTATATTTTGATCTGTTAGAAGAAACTATCTCAAAATTTTAAAGAGAGAACAACTTATATATATATGCCAAAAATACGGGTAACTACTACAAAGGGATAGAATATGACTCTAAAAATGAAAAATAAAAATGTTTTTTAAAAAGGGATTGATAAGGGGCACCTGGGTGGCTCAGTCGTTAAGCGTCTGCCTTCGGTTCAGGTCATGGTCCCAGGGTCCTGGGATCGAGCCCCACATTGGGCTCCCTGCTCTGCGGGAAGCCTGCTTCTCCTTCTCCCACTCCCCCTGCTTGTGTTCCCTCTCTGGCTATCTCTCTCCCTCTGTCAAATAAATAAATAAAATCTTTAAAAAAATAAAAGGGATTGATAAGATGTTGGTTGAAAAAGGGAAAAAGAAAAATTAAAAAAAAGAAAAAGAAAAAGAAAAAAAGACAGTTAAAAAAAATAACTTTGAAAAACTAAAGAATCATGGTAAAAAAGCCATGAATTCTATGTGCAGTATTCCCCTAGCGCTGGAGTTCGGCCGTTCTCATTGATCGGTACACTTGGTCTTGGCTGGCTGTTCTCGCTGATCTTCTGGGGAGGGGCCTGTTGCCGTGGTTTCCAAATGTCTCTGCCGGAGGCGGAATTGCCCCGCCCTTGCCCCCTCCCGGCTAAGTAATCTGCTCGGGTTTGCTCTCTGGGGCTTTTGTTCCCTGCGAGCTTTCCATACAGCTTTGGAGGCGGAGAGTGAAAATGGCAGCCTCCCAATCTCGGCCCTGGAGGAGCCGAGAACTCGGGGCCCACTCCTCAGTGAGCCCCCAGAGAAAAGCCGTCAGTCACTCCCGTCTCCCCGGTCTCCGGCCGCACTCCGTGCTCGCCCGGCCTGTGACCACGCGTTTCTATCTCTGGCACCCGACCCCGGGTGGAGCCTCCAAACCCAGCAGATCCCTGCAGTGCACTCCCGCGCGGCTCCTCCCGGGGGAGGAAGGTGAGTCTCCCCGGATATGACGCTTGTTGGGTCCCTGCTGGAGGAGCAGTGGCCCAACTGTGCCGTGGATCACGGTTTATGGCAACCCCGAGCTGAGAGCCCGCGCCTGGGCTCCGCCTCTGCAGCCGGCTTCCCTGCTCCGTTGCCTGGGAGCTCTGCCACACTCAGGCACCCCCGGTCTTTCTGTGACCCCGAGGGTCCTGAGACCACACTGTCCCGGAGGGTTCCACTCCCCGCTTAGCCACCAGAGTGATGTCCCTCAGCGGAGCAGACTTTTAAAAGTTCCGATTTTGTGCTCCGCGGCTCTATCACTTGCCAGAAGCGGCGGACGGAGGCCCCTCCCCCGCCGTCTATCCTCCCGAATATTGCCTCAGATTCACTTCTCCGCACGTCCTACCTTCCAGAAAGTGGTCGCTTTTCTGATGAGAGAGTTGTTGCTCTTCTTTTCTTCGATCTCCTGTTGGGTTTGTAGGTGTTCAGAATGGTCTGATCCCTATCCAGCTGAATTCCTGAGAGGAGACGAAATCCAGGTCTCCTACTCCTCCGCCATCTTGCTCCGCCCCCTATAAACTAGATTTCTAAGCCCTAGAACAAAATAAAAATATCTCATGAATAATTTTAAAGTGACTAGAAATGAAAATACTTTGGAAATAACAAATGAAATAAAATATATCATTAAAATTCATTTTACCTGTTTCTAGAAAATATAAAATTACATGTATGCTTTTGTATTTTATTTCTGTCAGAGAACATGGCTTTAAAAAACTGTATTTCAGGGGCACCTGGGTGGCCCAGGTGGTTAAGCGCCTGCCTTTCGGACAGGTCATGATCCCAGGGTCCTGGGATCGAGTCCTGCATCAGGCTCCGTGCTCAGTGGGGAGTCGGCTTCTCCCCTCCCTCTGCCCCTCCACTCGTGCTCGCTCTTTTTCTCTCTCAAATAAAATCTTTTTTTAAAAAACTGTATTTCAGATGAATGGGAGCTTAGTAGAGAATGGAGTAATCTGGGTCCCCTGGAAGAAATGGACCTTGAATAGGTCTTGCTGAACTTGGAGAGGCAGAGAGAATAAAAGGCATGTCAAATCTGGGAAATGGGTTTTGATGGGATGAAAGTGAAGAGAGAAGGTAAAAAAGGGAACAGAGGGAGGAGAAGATACAGTTTGGGGGAATTACAGAGAACAACTTGATGAGGATGGAGGAAGAGGAAGACAGGAGTACAAAGAGATTGAGTCTTTAAAGCCAGGCAGAGGTTTGGAGTACTCAGAAGTAAGGCAACCTTTAAAAGGATTTGAGTAAGGGAAATTTTGGATAAAAGCTGAAATTAAAGAAGAAAACTCTAGCAGTGAGTAATGTAAACCTCTCATCATATTAGAAGGTTCTTACATCATCGTTAAATTCAGATTCCCAAATAATATCACAAACTAATACCACAAGAGCCAATTCAACATGAAATAACAGCACATTCTCACATATCCAATAAACCTTGCCCTTTAGTCAAAGTTTGTTTTTTGTTTTTGTGTTTGTGTGTTTGGGGGGGTGTCATTTTCAAGTGCTATCACACAGAGATGTTATGATTTCTAATTGGGGGGGAAGAAGAGAATGGAAAGTAAAGTAAGTAAGAGGCTCAGAAACACTTTCAGATGATGCCATCTGAATTAACAGTCCCCTTTCGTTATCTATAAAAGAAGCTGTCTTTTCTTGAAAGCCCTTGGAAATGATGAAGTGTTCACCGATAAACATCAATTCCCTTTAAATCATAATGTTTGCCAGTCTTCCTCTATCTCACTCTTTATGTTGGTCCGGAATGTGACTGTCACAAATATCTGGGTGAACACGATTGTGAAATGTGATCATAAAACAAGCGATTATTTTTAAACTCATCTTTGTCACATTGTGATGCTCCACAAAGCACCTTTCCCTGGGCTACGATTCATTTTAATTGATCCCATCAGCACCATATCTATATCCTGAGTGACTTCACAATACCCTCTATTTCCAGAGAAGCCCATCAGGTTATGGGTTTGTTAGTAATAAAAATTACCAAGGAGTAGTCAGCGGATGATAAGAGCAATACAAATATTAAAGGAGAAGTAATAAGAGAAATAATGAGCATCCTGCTCATTCCTTGGAAGTGAACAATTCCGAGCTCCCTGAAGCCACACTTAACCTACTGTATTAAACAGTAATGGACAAATATTAGAAATGTTGATGTCAGGCTTTTAGAATCCGTTGGCATCAAAACATCATTTAAAAGTTCCACTAAGTATTTTTCATCAAGTTTCCTTCCACAGTATTCTTTTCCTAGTAGGACAGAGCCTTAAACTCCAGAAGAATAATTTTGCTCCTGTTTTAATTATTTGTTTACTGGTTCACTCCAGAGTGTGAGCTGGGAAAAAAAGGGAAGTATCATAAAGTCTTTTATGCACTATGATTTTCCACAATGTCACTATAGGTAGCACTTCCCTGTGCCAAGACTATTTGCAGAGCTGAGTAAATGAGCATCCAGCAAGCTGCTGTGGGGACATCAGCACCAACCAGAGCACAGGCCAACCACACAGGCCTCACACATTTTGCCTTCACCCAGCCTCCTTGGGGTTGTACCTGCTAAACCTTTAAGACAGATCACAGAGCAAGGGAAGGGATAGAACAGCCCCAATTACACTGACAGCTCTTTTCCTCTCTCACAAGAATTAGTTGGACTGGAAGGTGAGTTATTCTGCGGGAGTGAGAAAGAGGTGATAGAATCAGAAGAGCCTGAGAGGGCCTTCATTTGAGGTGACTATTTTAGGATGGAAAACTGACTTAATGAGTATAATTTACTTGAAGTGACTCTGAGGGGCTCTTTTGAGGAAGAAGTCCACCCTGAACTGGAGGCACCTTGCAAGAGGCAGATTTGGGCAAGCTAAGGGGGCGTGGTGGAGAGGAGGCAGGAGCTAATGTCCAATATGCAGTACCAGCCCAGTGGCCTCCCATGGTGGGGGCCCACAGCCAACATTACTCAATCACAGCACTGCTATCACAACCCTGTCAATAAAGGGAACGAGGCACCAACTCCTGATGAACAGGCATTTGCACTTAAGGTGAACTCCGAGTGCCATACTTGCTTGACTTTAGGCTTAAAAGTGAAAGGAACCACGATTTTCCTTTGCAACTTGATTTATCCAATGTCACTTGGGAGAAAGGCAGGCAGGCAGGCAAAGCTTCAGAGGAGAGCAAAGATAAATTCTGATATACTAATACTAAGGATATAATTATAATATTTTTTTAAAGATTTTATTTATTTATTTGACAGAGACACAGCAAGAAAGGGAACACAAGCAGAGGCAGTGGGAGAGGGAGAAGCAGGCTCCCCGCTGAACAGGGAGCCTGACGTGGGGCTCGATCCCAGGACCCTGGGATCATGACCTGAGCCGAAGGCAGATGCTTAACGACTGAGCCACCCCGGCACCCCTAAGGATATAATTATAAAAATAATTGTCAACTTCTGAGTCCCTACACTTAAATCGTGCCAGATAGTATAAGTGCCATTTCTTTTTTTTTTTTTTAAGATTTTATTTATTTATTTGACAGCGAGAGAGGGAACACAAGCAGGGGGAGTGGGAGAAGGAGAAGCAGGCTCCCCGCTGAACAGGGAGCCTGACGTGGGGCTCGATCCCAGGACCCTGAGATCATGACCTGAGCCAAAGGCAGACGCTTAACCGACTGAGCCACCCAGGCGCCCCGTAAGTGTCATTTCTAATCCCTATGATAACCCTTTGCCGTGGGCATTATTATCATTCCCCCCACCACCACCCCTTCCTTCTGTGGAGGAAACTGGGATGCAAAGAAGCGACTTTCCCCAAACCAGAGTAGCAGAACAGAGATGAGAACTCTGATCCTCTGGCTCCAAGTCCCAGATTTACTCTTCTAAGTCATTTCCCCAAGTGGGAGGTGGTTTTAATGGTATGCACTTATTTGAGGTGCCTGGGCAGCTCAGTCGGTCGGGCATCCGACTATTGATTTCGGCTCGGGTTATGGTTTCAGGGTCGTGGGATCGAGTCCTGCATTTCCACACTGGGAATGGGGCCTGCTTGAGATTCTCTCTCTCCCTCTCCCTCTGCCCCTACCCTACCTCCCCTTTGCATGATCTCTCTGAAAAATTTTTAAAAATTTAAAAAATTAAGGTATGCACTTATTTAACATTTACCTTTTATTTATAGAAGTGATAGTGGTTTTCTATTTACAGAAGTGATATAAAATCTTCCTTTAAAATAAATTACATTTCAAAAACTAACACTGATTTAAAGAAAAATATAAGAAAGTAATCTCAGATATTTACAAGAATATGGCAAATGGCACTGTGTTAAATACATCCACTTATTAGTAAGTCAAAGTGAAACAACTTGAAATAGTGATTTTTACTGATCACTCCTTAAAGCTCACACAAAAGAGGTGTACTCAAACCTCGACGTACAGGGTGAAGAAGGAGCTTACTGGCCTATTGGGCTTCCTCTTCTCCACTTTTGGGAAACTCTATCTATGTTAATGAAACACTCACATGCCTGTGAAGGAGTTGTCTATTCTCAATAAACTGAGTTTGCAGTCAGCAAATATAGAGGTGTCTGCTTTGCATGTTATTCCTGTAAGGTCAGGATCTGTGCTTGTAATAGTGACAACTGGCTAACATATACAATTAAGGCATGCAGATGGACGAGGGGAAAGCAAGTGGGGAACCCCAGGAACTGGTTTCCTTTTCCAGATATCTTATATAAACAGTACTCAAAGAATGACCCAAAAGTCGGTTTGTTGTTTTTTTTTTTATTGAAGATTTTATTTATTTATTTGAGAGAGAGAGAATGAGACAGAGAGCATGAGAGGGGGGAGGGTCAGAGGGAGAAGCAGACTCCCCGCTGAGCAGGGAGCCCAATGCAGGACTCGATCCCGGGACTCCAGGATCATGATCTGAGCCAAAGGCAGTCGCCTAACCAACTGAGCCACCCAGGCACCCCCAAAAGTCGGTTTTTTAAGGTGGCATGGGACCAATGCTTTGAGGGCACGTAGTTTCTGTAGAACTCCTGAAATGACATGATGCACAAATGTCCCCATTACCTCTAAAGGGTAACCTGTTCCGACCTCCAGAAGTAGCTGATGGACAGCAATATAAATTTCCAGAGTGACTTCCTGATTTTTTTCCACTTTTTATTTTTAGAGAAAACTCTAACAATATCAAATCACCCCTAGCCAATATCATCTATGGAGATCATTAGCAAATGGCACTAATATGGTTCCTGAACTCTAAGATCCACCCCCCCCCCGACACATTTCAACATTTCTGAAATTAGATTGTACCTGGCACCTGACTGTACATTCAGTGTGGTCTTTTTCCTTCTTCATTGCATCTTCCACCTGATTTCCCCTTGGAATTGGGTAAATACAATGCTCACATGTTTTAGTGGGAATTAGGATCGGTCATAATTTTAGAAGTGTGTCACCAAACATAAGCCTCTCTCTATATTATTGGCTTTGAAGTCATTTCTTTTTTAAAACCATTAAACACTGAAACACGTTGTTTGGGAAAATGCATTTGAACAAGAGACCAAGTGGTAGAA